CTAACACTGTTGTCACTAAACAACTCCCATGATTCCACACTCAGTCACGGCGTCATCAAACTACGCCTTTGTCTATTTGTTTATTTTGAATACGCGCCCTCCAGCGGCGAAAATGGCATATTGTGCCTTTAATTTGATGAGTTAATGTAGAAACATAAGTTGCCATGACTTACTGATCCTATCATGTTTACAGTGAAGAAACATGTCTTATTAGAGCAGTTGTGCTGCTTCATATTTTTGTGGAAACCATGCTTCATTATTCTTTGATGAATAGAATGTTCAAAATAACAGCATTTATGTGAAACAGAAATCTTTTATAACATAATAAATATCTTTACTGTCACTTTTGATTGATCGAATGTATACTTATTGAAAAAAGCAATACTTTCTCTCTCTCTCTCTCAAAAAAAAAAAAAAACTGACTGACCTAAACTTTTGAACAGTAGTGTAAATATTACAAATATTTTCTATACAACAAATATTTCTTTATTTTATTTAATTTTGGGGTGAAATAATAGAATAAGCTGCACTATACTGACAGTTTGAAGTTATTGAATTCTTACTCTGAGTAAATAAACGTGTGCAGTTTATGTTTTCAGGGGTGGATGTGGATGCGGGCCTCTGTCCAGGAAACTGTTTTTAGTCAGAATTATGATCTCTCTCTCTGTCCTATACTACAGCGACAGGATGAGTGACTCACAGAGAGAGAGAAACTTTTACTACTGTAACCTCACCCAGCCGCCTCCACGAGCAGATATAACTCCAGCCGCCTGACTAAACACCAACACGTCCGCAGTGTGCAAAACAGACGCCACCAAGACACTAAGGCTTGTGTTTTTACACCTGTCTGTTTTGGGACATGCTGCTGACAGCAAATAAATAGCAAATAATATTCTTTTATTCCGTTATATAGGCCTATAACCAGTGTTGGGAGGTAATTAGTTACATGTAACCGAACTAATGTAATTACAAAATAAATGTAACTGTAATCAGTTACAGTTACTGAGAAAAAAATGAGTATTTAAATTACAGTTACTCATGAAAATGTTAACAATTACAAAGGGAGCTACATCTGAATTTTTTTCACATGCACCCACATACAGATTTAATTGATTTCTGCTCTAAAATATGAGACACCAATGTTTCAAGAGTTTAAGACACAGAATAGGACACATGCTTATTAAATAACTGTTTTATTTCCTATTTCTTTTTTAAGATTAACTGTTTTTCAAAGGCACTGTTAGATGCCAGTGTCTCCAGTCATAGTTATGCAAAGATTTGATTTCAAAAACAGTATCATAGCTATTAAACTATTTTTTTTAGTTTGTTATGATTTTAAATCTGGATTTAACCTCAGAACGACCTCAAAGTAAAAAGAGGTGCTAAAGTCTGATTTTGTGGTGGCTGTGTTTTCAAATTTCAATATTATAATCTTAATTCAAGTGATGAAGACTTCTGAAAGTCTGACAGTAATCAGTGTTGAGTACTGCTGTGAGGACAAAAGTGTAATGTATTTTTATTCATAAACTCATAAATCACACCATAATACAAACGCTGCCCACTTATGACCTGCAAACGAACGATTTCAAAAGAATACTAAAAGTTCGTGTTTGAAATATCGCACCCACCTGAAGGACGTGGTTGAATGAATATCCCGTTGTAGGTCGTATTTAAAAAAAAGAAAAGAAAAGAAAAGATGTTTGAGAGTCCGCTTTCTTTTTGAGAGTCTGTGCCCTTCTGTCCGCGTTTGTTGTGGGAACTGCTCTCTTCACGCCATGTAATAACACAAAGCGCCGAGAGATGGCGCTGTAGAACAAACAACTGATATAGTGTTTAAAGGGGGGGTACAATGCTGTTTCATGCATTCAGAGTTGTTTACACTGTTAAAGAGTTGGATTATCATGCTAAGCATGGACAAAGTTTCAAAAAACAATTTGGACATATGACGGAGTATTTCTGTGCTAAAAATCTTACTTCCGGGTTCGTACAAGTTTCGGAAAGTTTTTTTCGATCGTGGCTCTTCATGACGTAGACGAGGGTGGAACTCCTTATATGGGCATTTCTCCCGGAAGAACGCGCCCGCGCACTCATCGACCAGAGCTATAGCAAGATCTAGCCAAGCGGCAACCTCCCGCTCTCTCTCATGAAGCCAACAAGGAAGTGACTTAAACTGTAATTCGTCAACTGGCCGCTAGAGGCTGGCTGCAAAAGGGAGTCAATCCCATAGACTCCCCATGTTAAAATGCCCAACTTTACAGCAGAAAAAAATTAAGGGCGTGGCCACTTCAGTGACAGGTGGATTGCCGCTGCTGCAAGATGGCGACGGCCCGCTCCGCCCACTTTGAGCTTCAAAAACGCTCTTTAGAAACCTACGGGTGACGTCACGGACACTACGTCCATGTTTTCATACAGTCTATGGATCGCGCTCATCAGCGTGCTTCATCCGGCGGCAGCGCTGCTCGGGACTTGCTCGGGAAGAATGTCTCCAAAGAAGTGTGTTTTTGGTTGTAAGGTAAAGATAACTTTGTTCAGCTTCCTAAAGAACCCAGCATTATGTAAACAGTGGATACAGTTTGTTTTTCCGGGGCAGCAACGGAGTTT